GGGTGCCTTGAAAAGCGCTATATAAATCCAATCCATTATTATTATTATTATTATTATATGTCGGCCAGTTTTCACTGGAAATGCCTTTTGGTTAAACTGTCAGCAAGGAATTTGCATTTGCACTGTTAAGTTTTTATATAACTTTAATGCACATAGAAACTACTGCTTGTTTAAGTGAAAATACATTGATGTTTTTTGCACTAATAAAGTTGTAAAGTGTTTTGTCTAGTGTCAATTATATCGTCAGTTATATTGTTATTGCAAATTTTCAAATATATATCATGATAAATATTTTTGGTCATATCGCCCTGCTCTACCATTTATCATAATATATTAATTAATATTAAAATTAGAAAGGGTGTCTCCCTCCTGAATTAGAATTGGGAGCTAGTTCCCTAAAATAGGGGCCTGAAAAGCTGAAGGTTTGCCTCCCACTCTACTTTTAAATATCCTAGGAACCACAAGTAAACCAGCAGTCTGAGAGTCGCATGCTGTATTGGGATCATAGAATACTATGAGGTCATTAAGATAAGACTGGGTCTGATTATTCAAGACCTTGGATATGAGGTGAAGAATTTTAAAGTTGATTCAGAATTTTTAAACAGGGAGCTAATGAAAAGACACCAGCATGGAAGAAATATGCTCTTTTTCTACTCCCTGTCAGTACTCTTCATGCAGCATTTTGTATTAAATAAAGGCTTTTCAGGGAGTTTTTAGGACATGCTGATAATAATGAATTACAATAGTCCAGCCTAGAAGTAATAAATGTTTGAATTAGTTATTGAACATAACTCTGAGACTGAATGTTTCAAACTTTAGAGATATTTAGAGTACAATGGGGAAAAAGCAGTCCGATATATTTGTTTAATATGTGTATTGAAGGATATATCCTGGTCAGAAATAAGTCAGAGATTCCACACAATATTACCAGAGGTAACCAGCTTAAGAATCTGGTAAGATACCATATTTCTAAGCTATTTAGGGCCAAATACAAGGACCTCAGTTTTATCCGATTTAGAACAAGAAATTAGAGGTCATCCAGGTCTTTGTCTTTAAGACATTTCGGTAGTCAGTGTGTGTATTATCTGGCTTCACTGATACCTATATACTTAGAGGTGGATATCATCTCCCTACCAATGAAACTGTATGCTATACCTTCGAATTATATTGTCTCAGGGGAGCATCATATCATGCACAAAATGCACACAGATGACTGCAGTACATCCTCGACCAATAAATCTGTACAAATTACAAGATGTGGCAATCCTATTAGTCCTGTAGCTTATAACAACACTTGTATCATTACATTAGTACTTTCAATTAAAATATAAGATTGGGGGGAATTTGGGTATTTTACGTTTTTTTTGCTTTTAATTTTACTCTCAGACAAGCATCTTGTGACACAGTAAGCACCTCCTATATTAGTTTTCTGAACTTGTATGACAAAAAAACAGTTTTAGATGAAAATGGTAATGTAATTATACTGATTAATTTGTTTCAGTTTGTGCCCTTCAATTGTCCACTGTGAAGTGACCTGTGAGCCCTGACCTCCTGTTTACCGAAGAGTTCACTCCAGCCAGAGTCAGCGGGATGGAGCAGGAGGAGGCTCTGTGCTTTTTGAAGGCATTTTTGGAGGAGTTTCCAGCTGCTCTGGAGGAAGGCGCTTCACTTCCTGTTAGCCCTCTTAGTCGTAAATTCACAATGGAGGAGTTGCATGGAGAGAGCCTGGAGCTGGGCCTGAGGCTATTGGCAAACAGGTATGACTGGGAAGGAGACAAACTGAATAGAAGGTTGTAACGATGAACAAATTTATTTTTCTGTGGACCAATAAGAGAAAATGATTGTGGCTATCTAAGACACACACCATTTAGTTAGTGATGGGCCTTAATTAATATTATAAATACAAAGGATTATACTGTGGATTATTTTACATATTCCATTTTTTAAAATGTAATGATTTTTAGTGTATGGTGATACACAAGCAGACATGAAGTAAAACTTATTTATTCTTGTTTTATACAAACTGTAAATGTCAGTCGAATGCTGGTTATTGTTGTATAATAATAATGGATTGCATTTATATAGCGCTTTTCAACGCACCCAAAGCGCTATTCATTCACTGTCACATTCACACACTGGTGGAGGCAAGCTACAGTTGTAGCTACAGCTGCCCT